TAAATTATTAAATTAACTGAATAAATGGAATAAGAGATGAGGTCCATCATTGTCTTTAAAAAATAAATTTCATTGAAATTGCATTCAAAGAACAATGATCATATTTCAGTGATAAAAATATCATTGTTGAATATTTATAAAACTGAAGGCTAATGAATAACTTGATAACCAATAGGTACAATGTAGAAGTAGCATATCAGTGAAAAAGACAAGTCATATATTGTAATTTCATTTAGTTCTATATTTTACATATGTGTATAGATTCATAAGTATGAGTCTTCAAAAGACATCCATGAGTGTGTTAAGTCTCCATTAATATTACCAAATACCTGACAAATACAGCAGAAGGAGGAAAAGTTTACCTTACCTCACAGATGCAAAGGGTGAAGTCTACGATGGGCTGATCCCAAGACAGAAATGCCATGCAGAAGGGGCTAGCAGAGAAACACTGCTCACCTCATGGTGTCTACAAAGCAGAGAAACTGAGTAGGAGCCTTAGACAGAGGAAGAGCCCAGGGACAAGAATATGCCCAGCTAGGTCATATGTTGAATATGTCCTGCATGCTATTTTATGAACTCATTAACTGAGTAGGATAATCACCCCATGATCTAATCACCTTCCTAAAGGTAGTTAAACTACTGCACATATCAACATTTGAGGGCACATTTTGACTCTAAGAAAAAACATGAAACAAGAAGTAATGATCTCAAATATAGATAAGAGTACTGAGACCTTTAAACAGTCAATAAATCGATATGCCAAAGTTTGCATTCCAAAAAATGTCATCTTTGTATTAAATGAACAATTTGATTATATATTTCAGGAGGAAAAAACAAAGATGAAGATAGTGCATTTAAGTAAATAGCAATAATCAAAGAAAAGAAATATGATTTATGAGCTTTAGTGGGGCTGAGTTTAAAGGAAATTGAATTATTCTTCAGATGGTTCGCTCTATTTACTATAGTAGTATAGCTCTTGGACAGAGATCAGTCATTTCACCTTTTCAATATGCTCTATAATTTTATGAAGAGTATGAAAATATTACCATGTACTACTGAAGCAATAATGTTGACATCATACACTGAATAATATCCTGGCTTTACAACTGAGATCAGTTCACCTGATATGTCTAATACTAAATAGTAGTAACTATAAATCCTTTTTGTAAAAGAATCTAACCAACATTTATTTTGCTAGTATCACTAGTGATAGCAAATAAATCACACTGTAATATTTTTTCTCATTCATTGCTCCATAAATATGCGCAGTATGTTGTACTTGTTTTGATGTGTAATGCATATACTACAATGACAACGATATTTGTGAATCTTCCCCTTGAGATGATTAACCAATTGAGGGAACATTTTAAACAGAAAAAATTAGTTATAATTTATGTAAAAAGTCCAACAAATACAGCAGAATCCTATATGAGCTAAAAGAAACATGTATTTGAAATGCTTATATAGCTCCTGACCTTTTAAGATGATACCTGAAGATATAGAAGGTTGAAAAGGAGCATGAAAGATGCTGAAGAGCTATAGGCCTTTCTGGCTTTGTCTTACATGGAAGTGAGTGGTAATGAGTTAATTATAATAATCCCTGTTATACTGTCCCTTTCATAACAAACACCTTAGACGAAATGCTACAGTTTATGTTTTTGCTCCCACTACAAGGAGCCTTTGCATCTTACTTTTGGAATTTTTACTGCAAAGTGCCGGTTTTTTTTCAGGACAATTAACTCAATATTTTTCTGCTTTATTCTTTGGGCAATTTAACTGCAGCCAGAGTATAATACAAAAACAAGAGATGTAAAGCCACACATTAAACAAAATAGAAATAGAAATTGAAAGGACTCAAGAGATAGCTTGGTAGGCTAAGTGCCTTCCTGGCAAGGACAAGGTCCCGAGTTTGATCCCTGGAACCACATACTGTGCAGCCCCCAAAACCAGGTATGGAGACACACACCTGTAACCCCAGTGATACAGAGTAGCTGAGACAGGAAAATCACTATGAGTACAAAGCGTCTAGTGAGACTCTGTATCAATAAAATAAAAAAATAAAACATTACAAAAACTAAAAATAACAAAATAGAATTAGAAATTGGATTCAGATTACTGAGGTAGTAAAATGGGGGATAAAATGGCATAGTAAATAATCATTATAGTAATCAATATTTTTATATTTTAAACAGAGTACTTTGACAATTTTATTAGCTAACTTGATTATTATAGTCACTGTTAATTAGTGTTCTATTTGGAGTTTGAATGTAGGTTTTATTTTGATAAGAGGATACTAGAAGGTTGTGGATTCAAAGAAATGACGATGAATTTCCAATTTTTTGTGTGAAAAGATTTCTTGTCTGATATCAAGAGTAATATACAAATATATTTAACCAAAGTAATTATCTGCTGACCCTTTTTTCTTTCCTTAAATATTATTCTTACAGTCTACTCATAGGATAGCTTAATAAGGGACACAGTACCCTGAGCTATGACTTTCTATCACTTTGGTAATCATGTACTGGAAGAACCATGACCCTTTTACAGCTCTGTTATCATTTTACTGCAACATGTAGTAAATCAGAATTCTAAAAGTCAGCACACATCTTAGAGTTTATTGTACCTGACATGACACTCAGTCCCAAGAACATTCCTTTGTCTCCATAATTAAATATAGTGCGTATTTCAAGCTCTGGTGCACAAACAAAACTCAGGGCTTGTACATGTACTGTCAATCCATGACTCCTGTGCCTATGGAAGACATCAATAATTGATCTTGGCATGCTTTTTGTCTTTTGTGCATACTCTAGTCCTTCAAAAGAAGAGCACTCCAGGCAGCCACTGACCTTCAATCATGGTTGGAGCTGGAATGAAATTGGTTCATCATTGCTCTTCTACGACACATCTTGAATCTTACTTTATACAGAAAATGGCATCTGAGAAGCTCATTATCCATTTAGATATGTGTTTCACAATGTTAAAACAAGTGTAACAAAAGTAAGGTAGCATATTTTAAGTAAACTAAGAAGAGGTAATCATTAAGAGGATAGAGAATATAATTTCTGAGCGTTAGTTCTCTGGAACTATAAAGGAAACTGAATTATTTTTACATTAGTTTCTTTTATTAAGCATAATAACAATGCAAGACACATTACCATGAAATCTCATTTGGACAACAGCAGGTCATATTTAACTAAACCAGTTCAACACATAGGTTTTGCATATTTACAATGTAGCTAACATCAGCATTCCATAAAGAGGAGAGGAAAACAAAGATAGGACCACGGTTTTAACCTCAAAAAGCTATCTCATCAGGTAGTATTGAATTTCACAGAAGAAATTAATAACTTAATTTTATTTAAAAGCCTATGACAAAGAAAAACTCCATAATGTAATGAAAATAAATAGCGCTTTTCAACTAACATAGTTCACATTTATGTCATTGGCAATATGAATTAACTCATTATATTTGAATTTGTTGGTCCTATCTTGCGTTATACATTTAAGTGAAGTGTTAAAACTTTTGTTCAGAAAATTAAAATTAGAGCCAGTGAGATACCTCAGTGGACTAAGCACCTGCTTAGGCAAGCACAGGAACCAGGGTTAAATCGCAGGCATCACATGCAGCCAAAGTCTTGACCCTAGGCGTGCTGAGCTCGCCACCAGCACCAGGTGTGGAGGTGCATACCTATAATACCAGCAGTGGAAAGGCTGAAAACAGGACAATCATTGCACAGCTCAGATTTGTACCAAATACATTAAAGTAAAATTCAAAATATCATGATGATTTGTTGAAAATATTATTTTTAAAATATTACTTGAAGCTATGTGAAGACAGAGGTTACTTCTCTTAAATGTTTGAACAATTAATCTTTAATTATACATTTAATAAAGTTAAAACTTTTTGAAACATAGACAAAATATTAAATGATAAAACTTCTCAAAAACTTTATTTTGCCCTTTTTTAAAAACAAAAAGTATTGTATGATCATACTTTAATAATGTATTCCATAGTTCAGTGGTCCTAAAAACTAGATATTTTCATGAAATGAAAGATATTTTTCAGGAAAGAGAAAAAGGATGATTTAGGAGAAGAGATTATAATCTGAGTTTTATTGAGAATGAAAGGGAGCATAAGTTTGGTTGATTGGAGGAAGAAAGGCAGAGTTCATGGGTATAAATGATTTGGAGGAGGGAGGTTCTGTAAGCTAATTCCGCTTAACTCAGTTGTCTCCCTGAAAGTAAGAACAAAAGGTATGAGTCAGAGGAGAGAGGAAACCAGTGGGAAATGGTCATTTGGTGGAGTGGAAAAGTAAACTGATAATAAAAGCATAAAGAACCACTAAAATTCACAATGAGCTTCACAGTTGTGAAGTTAATTAAAGTAATTAATGGTCAATCAACATGGTTGTCTGTCACCTGTGAGAAGATGTGTATTGAATAGGCAAGAGAACTGAACTTCAACATAAAGGAAATTTTAACAACTGGGTAAAATTAGGCAAGAGAAGAAAGAAAGAAGAAGAATGCATGCTTGGTACTAGTTAGAATGTGAGGCATCGTACCTAAAATTTGACTGATGTGGGGCAATAATGAAGGTATTGGTGCAATCAGTGGAGTGAAACCTCCAAAAGAAACCTGTGAGAAGCAATTTGACTGAAAGATAAGAGAAATATAAATGGGAATAATGTTTTAAATTGAATCCTGAAGGGAAGGAAGATTATAGGGATGCTAATGTTTTCATAGATAAGGCAGGATAAAGCACAATTTGCTGAAAGGATCCTGTTTATAATTTTCCAAGGATCAAGACAGAGTAAGAGGTGGAAAGAGAAAGAGAAATTGAACACTATGCTAATGTATGAATTATGGTTCTTGGGCAGAGGGATTCAGCAGTGTAGTTTGCAGCTTCCCAATTAAATTACCAAGGAGAGGAGTGCGAAAACTCTTCTCTAATCTCTCCCAATTACCATACATGAAACCACAGGATTAGAAGAGAGCTATCAGTGCTCGCTTTGGCAGCACATATACTAGAACTGGAACAATACAGAGAAGAGTAACATGGCCCCTGCACAAGAATGACACACACATTCGAGAAGGGAGCTATCAATTAGAAAAACATTTTTAAAAAATATGACAAAAGGTTGATCAACCTAATATAAAAAGTGGTAATAATTAAAAATCCATAAATCCAGCAAATTAAGTGAGATAGACCAAAGAAGGAACACATGTTCCTGAAAAACATGAGAAAAATACCTCGGGGCCAGGGAGAGATAGCTCAGTAAAATAAGCTCTTACCTGACAAGCTCAAGGGACTGAATTCAATCCCTGGTTCCACAAAACAAAACAAAACAAAACAAAACAAAAAACTCTTTAAATCAGATTAAATAAATCTTATCTATAAAATTATCAAAACATTTAAAATAATAATGCTGATTTTTTTCTAAATCTAGTAAAATAAACAATTTAGTTTGAAGTTTGATATTGTATATAATTTTTAGTTGAGTTATATGACGAACACCCTTACTGTTGTTTATAGATTTTATACTATCTCTAATAATTTTTCATAAAATGTCATTAAAATATTTCTATTCAAGGGCCAGCCAAATAGCTCAGAAGATTAAAGTACCTGCAAGCAGGCACAGGGGTCGGAGTTTCGATCCCTGGGCCTACCATGCCGGCCCCGCCCCAGAGCACGTTGAGATGGCAATTGAGACTGGGCATGGTGGCACGCTCCTCTATCCTAGCTCTTGGGAGGCTGCAAACAGGTGGATCACTATGTGTCTGATCTAGTAGTGAGACCCTAAACACCCTGTGGACCCTTCCCTAAAAATTCTCTCTCTCTCTCTCTCTCTCTCTCTCTCTCTCTCTCTATATATATATATATATATATATATATATATATATATATTCTGCTTTGTATGTTTACACACTGGAATACTTAAATTATAAAAGAAAATGTCCCTGTCCAAAATTTTACATTTAAACATTTTAGTACTCAGACCTCAGAGAAAGCAAAGGGATGTATTTTCCCATCCCTCTTTAATGATCTATTCATGACTTTTCTCTCATTAATATTGAAATCAATTAATATTACCTAAGTGCTTTCTGTATCCCATCTCTAACTTTAAAATCTTTGAATATTTTGCATCCTTTATGTGGTTCTTAAAACAGTAACATATGTTAAAGTTTCTTTCAAAATATGTTGGTTGACACATTGAATAAATAAGCTAACAGATGCTTCAATGAAGCAGAATGCAATTGAATCTGTACTCTTTCAAAAACTTTGAACATATTCTAAAAATAATGGGAATTCTCAAAGTATTTTCATATGTAAGTAAGGGCTACTTAAGGCTTTAGTTTTGAAATTACTGTCATATCAGACTACATTAAACTACTTAGACATTTGGAAGCAGAAATGAATTGATTTAATTTTTCTAAAATCTGGCTTTGCTGTAGGGTTCTGGATTTCCCAAAGGTTACTGATATTTTTTTGTTAGTTGTTTAGTTTTTCACTGAAACTATTCTGAAGTAATCATTTAATGTTTTTATAATGGTTACAATTTCTGTATTGTAAGGAAATCATGGCTCCATTCACACACAAAAATAAGCAATAGTTTCTTTATTACCAAAATAATTGTTAGCTTTCATTTTCATTTAAACTATACCAAAAGAACCTGTCTATGAATGTTTAAATAAAATGTATATTTAGTACATCAACATGTTAATCATTCTACCTGAAGAGTCAACTGATTTTTTATTATTAGATGATAGATAATCTCATATCTGATATTTTCAGGTCAAATGTGTTTTTCTTTTCCTGTCTATTTGCTCTGAAACATCTACAGCAGTATCCTAAGCACTAGGCACAAGGAGGTTAATGCGAAGCCTTCCACTTCTGCCATCCTCTAATTGGAGAGACGGTAAAATATTTTTCCTGAAGCGAGTCATAAAAGAGCACATCTGGGGCTATCAATCCATTAAAATGAAAGGATTACAAATACTGCTGAGTGTCTTCTCACCCATCATTATGACAGATACTAAATGAGATAAAACCACAACCTGTCTGGAGGATTCAAGGTTCATTTATCTGAAGGTAGCAGGTTTTATTCTTGTTCTTACTTAACATTGTAGACTGATGGGCTACTGGGGCCAGAGTACTCTCGTTTGCATGAACATGCATTTCTCACCCACTTGAGCATATCTATTGTTTTCCCTAAGAATGGGAATGCCTGACATTTTTATTTAGTCAAACATAGAGTGTGGAAAATCTTCTGGGTTAATATAAAGGTACTTTTTTGAAAAATATAAAAAAATTTCAGACAATTTAATTTTTTCCATATTCTCTCTCTCTCTCTCTCTCTCTCTCTCTCTCTCTCTCTCTCTCTGCATTAGTTTTCTTTGAAAGTCTAACTCTTCTGTTTTATTTTTTTATTTGTCTTATTGAGAAACAAATAGCAATGAGACAGCTTCAAAAACAACTAATAGAACAGTTTCAATAATTAATAAAATGCATATTGTTGTCTTTGTAGTGGTTATTCATAGAACAATGCAGACATGATATCCTGTCCAAACACTATAAGTACAAATCTTTCTTCTCATTGAATTAAGAGAATGTAACTGTATATCTATCTGATTTTGCATATACAGATAGAAATGGTCCTTTGTTTGTATTCCCTTTTTTTATTTAGTTTGTCAGAGATAGGTATTCCATTGCCATTTAAATGTTGTGTCAATTCAGTAAAATAATTCAAAATACTCCAGTAGTCCATAATAGTATGGGTTATCCATAGGACTGGCAATACGAGAAGTTGTTGACTTAGCCTTTTACGACTCAGCATATTAATATGCCTTTGCTTTTCATACCTCATTATTACTTTTTCTGCTGGATGGTTATTAAAGACAGAATTTTTTTCTTACTCATTTTTTCCTGAAGGCATTCTGCTGTGGCCAAATCAGAAAATTAGCGAGAGAAGGGTGCTAGCTGACACTGTGTTTGATGGGAGGGAAGAGAGATGAGGCTGCAGAGCCTTGAGAACTTGCCCCCAGTCAGTCAGTTGTAATGGGTTGGGAGCAGCTCTGTGGTTTGGAGTAACTTCAATCCACTCTTCTGTCTATGAGCCACACTGTCATTACAGTTTTGCATCACAGTCCTATGCACTTTTCAGCTGCCTATCTGGACTTTACATGTGTTTATATTTTTCATTTTACACATTCACATATGTGTAGGCATACAGACAAACACAGATTATATATGTACATATTCTGATACCTTTCCATGTTTGGGTGTACCTTTACTTTCAGAAAATATTTATTGTATCTTCTAAAACTAAATACCCCAAAACTATTATTTTAAAATGACTTATATTTAATCTTGCCAAAGGGCATTAAATAAAGAGTAATTCATGATAGAATTTCTCCAGGAGAAAAACAATAGATTGGGGTATATGAAAATTTGGAACTATTCCCAGTTTATCATCATTATGGTTGCTAATGAAATTTTCAGGAGATAGTAAATTAAAGGCAATGAAGACTCAAATAAATCCATTTGTATGATACAATTAGTTAAAATTAGATTAATTAGGCTAGCCAGATAGCTCAGCAGACTAAAGCACCTGCTTAGGCATAGCACAGTGGTGGGGTTCAATCCCTGGCATGCTGTGCCAGCCCCATCCCCGGGGTGCACTGAGATGGCCATTGTGACTGGCCCTGGTAGTGCAGGCCTGTAATCCCAGCATTTAGAAGGTTGAAAACAGGAGAATTACAAGTCCTATCTACATAGTGAGAGCCTGTAGATCCAGTTCTAAATACATAAAACATAGATGAATTATTATAAATTGTGATAGAAAATGTCTGAAATACAGAACAAATTCTTTACTACTTACAAGGTAGAAATATTTTAAGTTATCCATGATGAGTATCTATTGAATTTTCAACAATGAAGTTCAATAAAAAATATGTTTCTCATTTGTATAAAACAGAAGGCACACAAAGATTTTTAAAAAATATAATAGGCTCAAATGAGTGCATTTAGTGATTGGTCCTCATATAAAGAGACATGCAACTGCTAAGGGGCCATATTATCCTTAAACTTGCAAACAAATATTCAACTGTATTCTTTTTATTTGAAAAGGAGACACTGAACATTTAGAAAAATGTCAAATTAATATCCAAATTAATTGGATAAAATTACCCAGACTATTAATAACATGAACATAGGCTTGGACTACTGGCTTTTACTAATAATAATCACTGTCCTTTTATATGAATTTACAGTTTACATGAATTTAGATAGCATCATCTTGTTTAAGCAGCTCAACATAACTAACTATAAAATTGTTCACATTGAAAGGAAACAAAAGATCAGAACAGTAAAGGGATTACATATTTTAAAAGTGACTCCAATAATTTATGTTTCAAATTTGTTCTGCTACATCAGTTTATTTCAAAGATTGAACACTGGAGTAGCATCAAGAGTCTCCCAAATTTTATATTGTGAAAATGGCTATACTTCCAGCACTGTTATACAGATTTCATGCAATCCCAACCAAAACACCATAAGCAAATCTAGAGAAAACACTCTTAAAATTTGAGATAACACTCTTAAAATTTGTCTGGAACTAGAAGAGATGTAGAAAGCAATTGCAATCCTGGATAACAAAGGCAAGCAGGAGGCCTCACAATCTCTGACCTTAAATTATACTAAAAAGCTAATTAATGTGCAGGACCCAGCCCTGGGTTGCTCTGACATGGCAATTGAGACTGGGCGTGGTGGCACGCATCTGTAATCCCAGCTGTTAGGAGACTGTAAACATGTGGATCACTACGAGTCTGATCTAGTAGTGAGACCTTGCACCCCTCCCTAAAATTAAAAAAAAAGCTAGTTAAGATACTTACATGGCTAGTTTCTCACATATATACATATGTATATATATATATATATATATATATATATATATATATGATCTGCTTGCTCTACCACTATATATATATGGCAAAGCATGAATCTACAGTCAAACCACTTACTCTGTACTAAATTGAAAAGAGATAAAAGATGTAGATGTAAAAACAAACACTGAATAATTTAAGAGTTCAGTAAATCACTTGAAGTTA